ATTTTCATATATGGGATGGGGTAATTCCTCTGAACCAGTTGGGGCTTGTCAATCGGATGTGGGCAATATGTGCTCTTCTCTGTAATGCACAATCTAGTATAATTTCAGCTTAATACTTGCATAATCAGCACGTATTGACACCTGCAAGGACACTTTGGAATGAAATAACTACATTTTCATGATGTACATTAAACAATTTATTAATTCAAAATCCTGCAGCTCTTAAGAAACTATTTTAGTATTTTTTCTATAGTTTCTATAATATTGCATTTTAAAAAATACATGGGTTCGATTCCCGTTGAAGCTTGAAATCATTTTTCACGTCTTTCTTAACAGCGTTCGCTTAGATCGCTCATTCACTGTGATGGTCAACACATCTGTCATTTGTCTTATACAGCTCTACATTGAGTATTAGATTTGTTTCACAGTGAGTTCAGTACCATTACTCTATTCAATCAATCCAATTAAAATTTTAAGATTATCATCATATAGTTTAGTTACAAATCTGAATTATGATCATGAATTATGTCACCACAATGCATACTTTCTATGATCCTAGTAAATACTTAAAGTGAAAATTATTTATTTGTTGATCAATTTGGAGGGCAAAACAAAAAGGTTTCAATCTCCTGCGAATTGGAACCTATTGTTTTGCCCTCCCAAATTCAGCTGCATTCTGATGGGCTGYAAGGCTGTCTATTAGATATCTATAATCTTGTTCAAGTTTATTTTTACATTAAAAAAAAACTATTTTGAACTATTTATTAGTAAAGACATTTATAAGAATGTTGGAATTTAATAATAAAAAGACATCATATACTATAAAACCCACATAACTAGTCTTGTTTGCCAGCTTCAGTAGTTGTCCTGGAGTTAAAATCTTCAGCTGCATACTTGATGAAATGTTGAAAATAGTATGCAGTCAGTTCATCTCTAAGTTTTTCCCAGAATTCTACATCAAAAGGCACTCTCTGAATGTAAATACCCTTCTTCGTGTAGACAATAAAGTCACACCATTGGGCTCCAGTTATTCCCATCTGCCCTTGTACCTGTGCATAGTACGCATGATTTGTTTTAAGTTTGCAAATGTTCTCACCAGTTTTCTCCATGAAAAATTTCGGATCCGAACAGGCATCTAAAGGTGTCACACTTGCTTTAGTCCAAGGACATTTCACCTCAGCCAGCCCAAAACAGTCAGAACATCCAGTGTCAACAATTTTTCCATCAGGAGAGGCACCAAGAACAGGATGTGATTTTGATACAACAAATCCTGAAGGAATAACAGTGACAGGCATTTTCTTTAATTTCATTAATGTCTGATATTCCATCAGGGCTACTGGCTCAAACTTTTTTCCATGTTCAACGTACTTGTTGGTCAGTGCTGGGGGATGTATAATGTTCTTAGCAAAAGTGTCATGGTTCCTTTCACGTCTCCTTATCAAATCGAAGGAGGAGGCTGTAAAGCGGTACTTTCTTTGTCTTTTCCATTCATCACATTCTGCCTGGTTTTTTGTAATTTGTTCAATATGAGATATCTCATCTTCATCCACAAAAAGAAAGTCAAGAAGTGATTGTTCAGTGTCATTTAAATCTGGGGCATTCATAGGGTGCTCTTTTACCAATGGAAACCGGGGATAGCTATCAATATTTTGCTGCTGTGTATCGGAGATAACATG